TTTCAAATATTTTAAGAACTAACTTTAATTTTGTTTGAGAAATTTCTACTTTTGAATTTCTTGTTGTCTAATACTTAAGTGCGAATAATTACAATTACTTTGTAGCATGATTTTTCTTTTGTTTTTTATATATTTTTATTTTACATATAGAAACATTTTCGCTTAAAAATTCTTCTTTTATAATGTACAATTTTTTATCTTGTGGTTTTCTACTTCATTATAAGTATTTACTTAATAACCTAATTAACTACATACCTATGCATGTATGTATGTATACTTAAGCTTTTAATTACAATTATGCATGCTTAGTTCATCACCTAATTATTTACTCTTTTCAGTTCTAAAAATTTCGTCTACATTTTTAAATTTTCGCTTAATCGATAAAGTTAAACTTTCATTAGATTAACTTTTCGTTTTCATTCGGTTTATTTTCTCACTTTATACAAATTTATATATTCTTATGTATGTACCTATCTAAGTATGTATGTACAATATGTATGTGTGCTTAACTTAAGATTTAAATCAATGTAAAACCCATTGAACCTTCTTTGCCGAAAAGTATGTATATTAGGATGCACCACTCTTCATAGAAAAAAAAAAATATCGGTGCTGTTTTTCCATCGGAATTAAAAACAAAATTTTATGTGTTAAGATTTCCGTCAAAATATTTGCGAAAAATATAAAGATTTAGCTGAGCTCAACCGATTTGAAAATACCTATAAAAATGTGTTCAGATGATAAAATCAGTTAAGCTTTAAAATCCGCATTAAAATGTTCAAAAATTTTATCAGCGGATAAGATAAGATTTTTGGAGGTATTTTCAAATCGGTTCAGATCACACAAACCTTAATAATTTTCCGTAACATTTTGGCGGAAGTCTTAAAATATAATATTATTTATTTTTTTTGGTGATGCACTCTCATGTTGTTACATAAATACATATGTAGTAAATCTAGTAAAATAAAAAAAAGAAAACATACATTGCTGGCAATTTTCGGCGGCAAATATTTTTTGTACATAACTTTTTAGCACAGAGGACAACACTCAGTTTTCGTTGCACGAATATCAAATTCTACTATTGCAGTAGTAGCAAGCTTTCGGTCTCTTTCTTTTTCTCCCTCCTTCCTCCTCCTCCTTCCCCCCCGCCTCCTAGCACTTTGATTTTAACTAACATTTGTAGTAATTTTTGGAATTTTGTTTTCTTCTCATTGTTGCCCAATTAAAAATGCAGTACTTATAACAAAATGAAAAAATGTAATAATTTGTTCTTTGAATTTGTGCTCTACTACTTCTTAAGTATGAAAGTCCATACGTTTTTTTTTTGCTTTTCTTGCACTGTTCTCGATTATTGCATTTTCATGTTTTTAAGAGTGAGTTTTCTTGTTTTTTTATAGGTATTTGTAATTTTCCGTATAATTTACTAAATTCTACATCAGTCGTTTGGCACACAAGTCGTCACGCGATTACTTCACTTCCTAAATAATGCAGATGGCGATTTTGCTGGTGGCATAAAGCAGCTGTGGTGCGGTGAGGCGACATTTGTTGTAACTTACACACATACATACGTATTTGATGGCTTAGTTGTGTGAAATAATGTTTTCATTTTGTTTTAAAATTTCAGTGAAACACGTAATCACGTGCTTGCAGCTAAAACAGCACCATTCGATTAACTTTAAAGGAAGTTTACATAGAGTGAAATCTCGTTTCTTAATTTCTATCCTCTCTACTGTGAAAAGGGCCCCTAAGTAAACGAAAGAAATATACGGGAAGAAAATTTTCAAAGATAGGTTTTAGGTTTTAGGTTCTTATGTCTAAGTCTAAAGAAGAAAAATATAGTGCAAAAAATTCAAAGCTTTTTTCTGCAACAAGGTATTTTTTTGATAGATGACATTGGGCCGATCATTTTCGCTCAACAAAGTTATAGATCAGCAAGTCTTATTTAAATTTTTTGACGCAGAAATGTCCCTAAAGCATCCAGATACATTTCTGCATAAAAAAATAAAATTTTGAAATATATTTCACGACATCTTAGACGTTTTCAAGCAAAATGTTTTTGATCAGAAATTAGTGGTAGTTTGCAAATAATATAACCTCCGCAGATTGCGCATTGAAGCAAAAAATCTAAAACATTAAAACCTTTTGGCGAGTTCATTTGTACATTGGGGTGCACCACTCCATACAAAAAAAAAAAATTATGATAATCTGTAATCCTTCCATCGATATTATAAAATTTTATATACTTTAGGACTTCCACCATACTATTTCAGAAACATATTGCGATTTACGATAGCTGGACCGATTTGAAAATTACTCAGAAGATATCATTGATAAAATTTTTAAACATTTTTGTGCGGATTTAAAAGTTTACACTATCATTTGAGGTAATTTTTTGGAAAAAAGTGCTTAACAAAAAAACGACTTTTATTCATTTTCGATTTTTTTATTTGATTTTTGTTATATTTGGAAGAAGTTCTTAAAATATAATACATTTTGTAATTCCGGTGAAAAACCTGCCACATTTTTTGGCGAGGCACCCGAAAGCACACATGTATTTATGTAGGATTTTGATTTTTTAAGTAACTAGGTAAGCAATGGAAAAAATATATCGCATGCTACTGTATATTTTGTTGTATTTTGGGGTTTCTGTAATCTTCCCTTTAAACAATCTTCTGAGTGCTCAGAATTGATTAGTCTAAAATGAGTCTTTCTTTCGTCATACTTATATATGATCCTAAGACCAGCCAACCAAACTGACTCATTTCGAACTCTTCCGGTGGCATAAATTCTGAGTTGAGAAAGATAAAATATTAATACACATTATTCTAGGTTCAGTGAGACTGTTCTCAAACGAGTTAACAACAATTTTCGGATGATTATCGCAAGTTCCCGATGTGGGTTATGAAAGTCGCAATGTTGCGGTAGCGATACTATATTTTTCGCTAATTCGTTTGAAAATATCCCAACATCGAAACTTTTTTTTTTGGTTTTTCTTTGGAACTCATCAAAGTTTTTTATTTTTTTTTTGATCTTTCGGAAATGTGTGGCATTTGTTTGAGTATTTTTTTTTAAGTTATTTTAAAGATTTTAAAATTGTTCGTGACTTTTCGGAAATTCTTCATTTTCAACGCTACAACTGATTCAAAATTTTGCGTTTTTGATTAATTGAACGATCGAAAAGATAAAAACGAGACATTGCCGGGTATAAAGCACATAAGGCTTAGTATCCAGGTCTGAAGAACACGGGCAAGAAAAAAATGTCATTATTTCGGGTGTGTGAATAGTAGTGTCCAAGGAATTTTGACATCTGCCTCACTTATTCCTCGCGAAATAATGGAACGGGCATATATTTATATTGCAAACCCGGATTCCACTGTGCTCTATGTACACAAAAAACTTTAGAAAACCATAGCAAATATCTTAAGAACTCCCTTCTGTCTTAAGGAATTTTGACACAAGAAAATTTCTTCGAAATTTTTTCAGTGTTTTTTTTTTGATACTGTGCTTAACTTTTTGTCTTTTGTTTATGTCTTAATTGATGATTATACGGGCAAATTTGCGGGCCTTTCATTTTCTGCGTACAAAATGAGACATCCATGTAAATTTAAAAATTTAAAAACGACTTTTAGGGGTGGCTACCAGGGTTTGAAAAATTTTTAATTTCTACTTGAAGTCTCATAAGTTTGACATATTATTGAAACTTATTAAGGAAAAAAATGTATATGAGTTATAGTTGGGCAAAGTCGTGACTTTTGTCGAACTTTTGTAATTAAAAATATTAAATTTTTAAAAACCCTGGTAGCTACCCCTAACACTTTATTTTGCATGTCATTATTTTGTAAGTAGAATAAAATAAAAGGGGTGCTTATGAGGTTAATATGTTAAAAACCACCCTAGTCCATACGATATCTGTAAATTAGAGATTTTTTTTACTATTATCGCTACTGTAAAGCGCTTTAACTTTTTTTAATTCCTTTCAAGGACAGTCTTTAAATAATTTAGAAAGTTTTTGTGAATAAATTTTTTTTCAAATCATAAAACTCATATTAACTTAGCGCTGCTAGAACTTAAAAGACCACAATGTGAAAAATGAAATAAAAACCTTGATTGCGACGCGGTGTCGTTAAAGCTTAAGTTGGTTTAATGAAATTTGGTAAAAAATGGACATCCCCTCACGAGTAGACCTATATCGAGCCCTAACCACCACAAAAAACGTAGGCGAAATTTTTCACATAATTTTCTTTTTGATGCAAAAAATATACCCCTAACATCTAGCTGCATTCTGCATTGTGTTTTTAAATCCGTAAAAGTCGACCCCTAATCGTTGCCGTTACAATTATCAATTAAAAAAAATAAACTTTGCATAAAATAAAGTCTTAAAATACGCCACCAGCCCACAGCCAATTGAAGATTATGACTGGAAAAAATATCAATTACTCAGACCCTGTCATAAGACCTTGCAACTTGCTGAAGGTAACGCCATAGGTATGCATGTATATGCCGCCTCATTTGCAGCCAAAGCGCCGCAGAGTTTTTGATTACCGCAAAAATGCCATTTCATACATATATTTTTCAGAAATACGCGCCCTTTCAGAGAGGAACGGAGAAGCAATCGCCACCTTTTGCTGTTTGTTATTTTGATTTATCCCCCCCAACTAACTACTGCTGGCATACCTATTCATCTTCATAAGCATGTACATATATATGTAGTACGAGTACACAGTAATACCACCTGCATACATACATGCCACACTATACATATACACTTTCGCACATTTTTCTATTATTTTGCTTTTCTGCTTTTCGCACTACTGGATGCACATAACTTTTGCCCACGAAATGCCTTAAATTTTAGTTACCATTCAGCCATTTTTAGTTTGAAGGAGTTTTAGCTGGCGTTCGTGCCATCGCAGTCGCAGTCGTCGCCGCCGCCACCGCCGCCTTTGTGTACTTGCAACTAAACCTCTGTGCCATCCTCACCCTCATCATCGAACAGCTGGCTGGTACTGCCTTGGCCGCCGCGTGTCGCCGTCACGGACATCTTCTTCTTGGGCTTCGGTGGTGGACGTGGCGGTATTTTCGCCACTTTCGTAGGCTCGCCCGTAGACGCATTCGCGCCTGCAGTTGTATTCGAGGCACCAACGCTGCTGCCACCACTATTAACATTGTTGACACTCGGCACAATGGTGAGACCGTTGTGATGTCGCGCAGTGCCATAAAGCGGCTCTGTGTCGGAGGTCGTCGTCAGGTGATGATTATTATTCACCAGTTCATGTATGGGTTCGTAAATTTTTGAAGCCGTTGCTGATGCTGCTGCTGCTGCTGCTGCCGCCGCCGCCGCCGCTGCTGCTGAAGTGCTGGGTACAGCTTGTTGTTGTTGCGACTGTTGCTGTAGCTGCTGTTGTTGCACTTGTTGTGCCTGTTGTTGCTGCTGCTGCATGGCTGCTGTGCTCGACGCCACCGACGTTAGACTCGGCGTGGCCGGCAGTGGGCGATCGCGCATTGTGTAGCGTGAGGATGTGGAGGCACAGCTACTTACTTCCGGATGTACTTTGTGCAAGTTCAGCGTCGAATTACCAGCGGCAGTTGTGCGCAGTCCAAGATTGTCGTAGACTGGCTCCGATTGCAGTTCAGCTGTCGTCGCGGTGCCCGTTTCGCTCGGATTTGGCGATGTGGGCGACTGGAATTCGCTTAGCTGTGTCTGATTTGTGGTGGAAGTAGATGGCGCCCAGCTGGGTACGCGTGGTTTGCGTGGTATCGTCATGTAGCCTTGCTTCATCACCACCGCTGTGGTTGGTGAGTACATAACAGGTGCTGGCAGGAAGGGTGATTGCTGTTGTTGTGCGCCATGTTGCGGCGCTAGGTGGGCTAGGTGTACATGTTGCTGCTGCTGTTGTTGCTGTTGCTGCTGACGACTGTTAGCCGCGGCGATCAATGCCAAATTGCGCGACTTCGGATGCTGCAGTGTCATGAAACCGTTCGGTGTGGCGGCGGCGATGGTCGTGGTGCCGTAGATGCCATGCGGCGTCATATGCGCATAAACGGGGCTGGTAAGCGGTGGCGAACGTATGCCGTAGATAATTTGTTCGGGTATGTTGCTGTGCGATGACTGCATGGAAGGTGAAGTTGGCGGCACGCGAGCGGGGAAGGCGAGTAGATCGGGTGGCAAGCTGGTGCCGTAGGTGTCATCGATGTAGGTATGGCGCACACGAGGCACTGTGGTATCCGATAGAGCGACCGAGTGGGTTTCATCGTCGCGTGGGTGATTGCCTGGCGGAAAAGAGATAAGAGTAAGAGAAATAAATTGAGTGCGAATTGGCGCGAGTAATTGAAAATTGAAAAAACTGGTATGTACAATAGTTGGCGAACATTTTTTGCTTTCGTTTTAAATGCTCATGCAGACCAAGTTTATGGGCACTGATGGCGGCAGAGATAAAAAATAAATAAAATTATATAAAAAAAATAGTGCCCTCAAAGGAAAAAAAAATTGAAAAACAATTAAAGTGCACAAGCACAAAACTTTACAGCGCACTTCGCGCGCAGCGTTGCTTTTAATGAGAACAAAAAAAAAATTGGAATCACAATAGAAAAGTTTACGAGTCAGCAGCAAGTTTTCAATCGCTGCAGAAAATTGAAGTTTTTACAATAAATACGCGTGCGTTTGTGCGCCACCATTGAACGGTTTATTTGGCTTCCCGCACCAAAAGCAATTAATCTTGCAGTTACGTGTGAACGCCAACAATGCTGATTTTTCGAAAACAGCGCATTTGCAGAGACTCTTCCGCACTTTATGCAGGCATTCAGCCGCTTTAGCGGAGAACAGCGGCTGGTGAGAATGCCGAAATTTGCAACTGACAGGAAACATAAACCTAAAGCGCTAACATAGCTTTTGCACAAAGCTTTGTGGGAGGGAATGTTTTTAGAAATAAAAAAATTCAATTACTTTGGTTGTGAATGCAATTGATTCGTTGTATAGCTGCGATGTTTGCTATAAAAATCTCCATTGATAGCTACGTTATTTACATGCCAATCTTATTGGAAAAATTTAGGTTTTCGGAAAGTCAAAACAGTTTGGATGCAAGCATATACACTGAAGAGCAAAAGCGGAACAATAGAACGGAAAGTTAAATTTGTGGTAATGTACTTTTTCAGTTTATTAACTTTATGGTAATTCAAATTTGCATTTCGCCTTAACGATGTTTAACTAAACGTTTGACAATAAAAATTTTGAGATTCGCATATGGAAACTCTGAAAAAAATGACCAAATAAAAAGGAACTAGACTGCTCCAGTTTTGCGCCCTCTTAGTAATTGCTGAATTTTATAATTCAGAACGGAGTTCTGGCTCATTTCCTAAAATTTTGTAATCAAATCGCGTGGGATTTTCACTGTGAGTGCTTTAAGTGCACATACCAAGCAAAAAAAAAAATTAAATATTTAAACTATTAGGTTTGTACGTGTATATTTAATGAAGTAGGGCCGTGTTACGGCTTAGGGAGCAAGAACTGTGGTAAAATCGATGGCAAAAAGAAGAAGTGACAATAAATGAACATTTTCAAAGATTTTGGCAATCTCAGAGGATATTTTTCGCAGGCTTTTATCAATTTTAAGAGGATAATGATCAGAAACATTCTCCGAAACTCTGTCCAAATAGGTATAAATCCCAAGTGTTTATAATCATGGAGTAAACCTGCGTAAAGCCCAGATTTTAGTCCGACAGAAAACATATGAAAGTGTTTGTAAATGCCACTGTTCAATTGCGAAAATTCACCCAATCGCATGCAAAACTTTGGGTATGGCGTTGAGAAAAACCGGTAGGAAATCTCAATAGATTTCATCTAAAAACTGTGCGAAAGTATCGCAAGATGTCTATAAAAGCTAAAATATTCAAATTGGTTATGGTCAGGCAAGTGGTAAAATTTTCTATCGGATCCAAAACTGGAACAATCCAGTTGCTACATTTTTTTGCAATTTTTTTCTTTATCTGCTTGTGTTAGTTATTGTTTTTATGGTCTTCTGATGAAATATACATTGAAAATGTGAAATCCGAAAGTAGATTACAAAAAAGTTTTCATATATTGCGAATATATCGCAAGAAAATTCTCATTTTGTATTACTTTTCCGGTTTTGCTCCTCAGTGTACATATAGATACATTTTTGAAATGCAAATAACTTCCATTTCATTTTAAAGAAGGCTCATTTTAACGACTAACCACCAAACGACACCACAAAAACATATATCCATTGAAAAGCTGCTAAAATATTCTATAAATTTGTATTGAATAGATTTGTCGAAAATTTCATTTTTATCTACATAAATATGTAAATACAGTGATCCAAATATAAATTGGGAAGTGAAGTTTTAGCAAGTGTTGGCTATGTTGTTTTTTTTTTGTATATTTAAACTTCATTATTATTTTTTTTTATGAAAGTTAAGCTCATTATTATCTAACAAAAGCCATAAAAATCCCAAGTTTCGCCAAAATTTCAAATTTCCTACTCAGAATTTTTAGAAAAAATTTTTCGGTATGCAGTTTTGTAGCTTAGTGTTCTTCATATAAAAAAAATTTAGACGTGTATGGAAAAACTGCGTAACACCGCGAAAAAAAAACCGAGACATTAACGCTGAGCTACTTCAAACCTGCATTTTATTATACCAAAATTTAATCTGCTACAAAATGATTAAGAAGTTTTAAATTTTAGCAAAATTTTGCACAATTTTCATAATGTTTTTACAAAATCTGATTGCATTTGTATAGTTTTTCTTACTAAGCTTTCACAAAAAAATTATAAACATTGAATAAACAAAAGATAAGTAGCCAAAACTGTATGTTTGTACATAATTCTTATACTTTTTTCCTTCTCAGCAGCGTCACGAAGCTAGAAAATTCGAAATCAAGCACTGTCTTGATTTAGTTCCAAAGCGCTTCTAAAAAGCTTCTTGTATGAACGCTTTCATACATATATTTACAGGAATTTGTAAGCTTTGCTCCGCTCGGAACGGCTACGCTCAGCTCGAAGTTTCATTTTGTCACAAAATATTAGATTTCTGTCTCCTTTGACACCTAGTAAAATTTGATGCAGACAATTTTTATTTTCTAGTTCAAGAATTATGGTTGACGTCATTTTACACATAAAATGACATGTTTAAAAATTGCGCTTCAGAACAGAAAGTGAAAAATTTACAGTGCAAAAAAAAAAAAGATGGAGGCGAATGCAAAAATTAAGTTTCATATTACTTGCGACAGTTATTAGAGTATTTCAAACAAATGTTTTAATTTGACTGTACTAATCGTAATAATTCATCTCAAAAATATAAGAACATACAATCTGTGGAACTACAATAACGCCCTCAATATTTTGTCTAACTCTTCGATGTTCCGACCAGTGTGTGGCGGCTGCTTATCTTACAACTTATGTATGCATGTAGTACATGTGTATGTATGCAAGTATATTAACCAACAATAATCAAATAATTAGTAAAGTGGTCTTTCCAATTCATATCAAATCGTGTTCAACGTTGATTAAGTACAATGGTGCATACACCCCTTTATATCATACATATCAGATAAGCTTATTTAAAGGACACTCTGAGTGGCTCTGTTGAGCGTCTTTTGTTGATATGTAGTATGTTAATGCTGTCATTTGATTTGAGCTGCAAAGTACAAGTACAAACTAAGTAGCACGTACCTGCAACTACCAGCTGCCCTAATACCGCATAATCTTTAAGCCTCCTAAATATATGTGTGTGTGTGCTTGTCCAAATAAGTGATTATGCAATTGATGCATTTCAAGCCAATTAATTTAAGAGAACTTGTGCAAATAGTGAGATACTCATATGTAGCTAATAGGAATGTTAATCCCGGGATCCCGAAATTTACGGGACTTGTAATTAGCAGTGATGGCAATAATAGAAACCAGTATTGGCTATATATATTTTTTTATTTAATAACTAAGATTTTTTTTATAAATGTCTAGCTCATTATACATATAACGCCGTGCGATAGTAAATTTTACACATCAAAATCAATATAAAGAGAGAAACCGTGGGCCAAATATAGGAAAATTACGTTTTTATTTTTTCACTCTGACGTCAGTAATTCAAAAATGATTTAAAAATTCAGGGAAATTTGCTTGAAGAAGAAGTATGGGTATCAAATTAAAGAGGAAATTCTGTTGAATTTAAACAGCCTCAATTTTTTGGTGCATAAGGAAATTTCGCAATATTTGTTTTTTAAAAAGTTATATGTTAAGGACTTATATAAACTCAATAAGGTCCTCAATTTTGTCCTTCTAACTTTATCAGCTTAAAAAATTACCTATTCGTACTTGTGAGTCCAAAAAAAAATTTTTTTTTAAATTCAAAAGAAATTTTCTCTTTCACTTGGCACCCATATTTTTATTCTATATAGCATTGAATTTTTAAAATAATTTTTGGAATTAATCATATCATATCCCGGAAATCCCGTATCGCAAAAAGCGAAAAAATTAACATCCCTAGTAGGTAGTACTTAATTAGCACAAATTCAAAGGTTGTCTGCACATATACATACATACGTACTTAAATACATATTTATGTATCATGTGTGTATGTATGTACAATCAATATCTTCATTACTTACCAAATTGTGATTCATCCAGTAGCGTCTTTTTGATTTCATGTCCCTCATCGCTCCCATCTACATTTTCCAGTTCGGTGCGTCGTGGTGGCTTTTCAACCGGATTCACTTCGGTTAGTAGACTTTTCTGCATTTCCATAATCACCGATCCCTCAAGCATTGAACTATTGGTTTTATCCATTTTCGTTGATATCAGCCCATTTTCACTCATCATTGTCGTATCTTTCTGATAGGAACGTACACGTCGACAATACCAGCAGGCAATGAGCAACACACACATGAGCAGCAGTAACACTGTGATGACGATCAGACAGATGACAAGTAGAAAATTCGATTGTGTATCTGTTGTGGAAGCGCCGATGCCACCGCCCATGCCCTCGAGTGCACCAAAGAAGTCGCCATCGACAATCAGCTGGAATTCAGCCTCCGCTTTGCCGCCTCGATTCTCCGCAATACAGGTGTACATACCTTTATCGCTCGCGCGTACGTTGAAGATGCGCAACTCGGAAGTGATCGACTCCGTCGGGTCAGAGCTGATGAGTGGCTGCTGCTCGATGGAATTCAGTATGCGGAAACGTTGGTCATTTGGATTAACGACGCGCCGATTGTAAATCCAAGTGACATTGGGCCGCGGTGAGCCTTCGACACGACATGGCAACGTTATATTATCCGATTGCACTTCGACGAATGAACGTACCGAACCAAGTATGCGCGGATAGCAAGCAAAATTCTCCGACGGTATGTCAGTCCAAAGCTTGCCGCGTAACGCCGGTGGTTGTGCGCAATCTGTAGGCGGTGTGTAGAGGCGATTGGCGAGCGCGAAGTCGCGAAAGGCTTGCAGTTCGCACGTGCAATTCCAGGGGTTTTGCGCCAACGATAAATGCATCAGTTTGGGTATGCGCGCAAAGGTCTCCTTGCGCAGCACAGATAACGCATTCGCCTCCAGGTAGATTGCCGAAAGCATAGGCTGTTGACCGAACGCATGAACTTCCACCGTCTTGAGGCGATTGTTCTTAAATTCGACGCGCGACAAAAATGGCAAATCTACAAAGAGATAACTCTCCAGCACCTCGATCTCATTATGATTCATGACGAGATTGCGCAGCTTTTCCAGCCCGCCGAAAGTGCCAACATGCAGCTCGCGTATGAAATTGTGCGACATGTCCAGCTCGATGAGTATGGTGAGACCTTTGAGTGCATCGCGATTCAATTCTTGTATGGTGCAATTGCGCAGGAAGATTTTATGTAAATTCTGCAAATTCGCATCCGCGAACTCATCACGCCGCAACTCGGGTATTATATTATTCGAGAAATCGACCACTTGCATCTCGTTGCTCAGGTCGTCGGGTATGGCGGTGAGGGAGCGCGCTTTGCAATCAGCTGTTTTCTTACCCGAATTCCAATTGCAATGGCACATGCTGCAGCGTTGCATCCAATCGGGGTTACCAGCTGTAGGCGCAATGCTATCGATAAGCAGCAGCAGGAGTAGCGATTGTGTGATAAGCAGCATAAATGCGGAGAGGCTCGCGCTGCGGTGGTAGCGCGGGTAGCGTGGTCTTTGCGGCGCCGTCGGTGGCGTGTGATTGCTTTGCTTTGTGCTTGTGCTTTCGCACGTTTCTTGATCACGCTGGCTGTGCATTTTGTAGTTGCTATGACAACAACTCGCTATACTGTTATTTATGTGGCTTAGCATGTCGTGTGTTGTGTACATATATAGTGGTTGCGGGCGGTGCACGCAATGCGTTTGCGGATGTGCGCCGCAGCAGATGGGACTTTCAGCTTTGAACTCTCTCCTGGCCGGTGGTTGTTCGTTAATTACCTGCTGCGCTTACAATGATGTCAGCAGCAGGCGCTCGCTTGCCGGCTATGTTGACGTGGCAAGCGCTGCTGATAAGCTCACGTCATCAATGACACACGCTTTGTGTGTTGTGTTCCTGTCAGCTGGAGTTAGCCAATTTTTGATACTCAGCTAAGCCTCTCTTCTCGGCTAGTGGGAGTGTAAGTGTATATTTTTGTGTGTGTGTGTGTGTGTGTGTATGGCAGTGGTATTGCTCGCTTATTGCTGACAATTGACTACCGCAAACTTGTGATTAATTAACGTCCTTACCGCCAATTCTTTGTGTTGGTGAACTAGCTGCGTGTGTGCGTGCGAGCGCGTGTTGATTTGTTTGTAGATTATGTCGTAGTTGTTGCAGGTCTTTGGAGAACCAACTCTTGCACTCAGCTTTGATTGTTCGCACACCAACAACTAAGTAGCCAGGAGGATTGGCAATGCCGGATGACTAAAAGAAAAATAATGAGTAGGAAATAAATTAAAACGTTAAGTCAAGAGAATAAGAGAAATAAGAAATTGTTTAGTAGCATACATATGTATGTATGTATATGATATAAAAAGACATGTTATTTTTATTTAAAATTTAAAATGTAAATAAAAAAATGAAGTATTTATTTTACAGTACCATAGTTTAAGCTTAAGGTGACTCCATATGAAGCGTTTCTAACATTTTAAATTTATTTTTTTTTTCTGTTCCGTTTGTCCCACATAGGGCAACGGACACAAGCACCAACTGCCTTTGCGACAAAATCACTGACAAATTCTCCGAACCTCCAAACAAAGGAGATCACGTTTGTTAGTCTTTTTTTTTGCTTCCCAGCGATACCACTGCCTTTCAATAAGTACTAAAATCGCTGGCCTGCAGTACAAAGGGAGCCGAAGGGATCACCGTCAAAAATACTACACCAACCCGCGATGCTTATACCGGCACCCGCATGACTGGCGAACGAACATCGAGCCGCACGTAGACCAACCCGTACGACGAAGCGCGATACAAAACGGCGCTGAAAAATTTACAAAGCGATGGCTTTAAAACAAGCCACAGGACTCGTGAGGACTACGCCGTTGCAGGTGGTCGACCATTGCCTATTAATATAGAGGAATCAGACCTGAAGGAGGATACCAAGTGCATTCTAGCACTAAATATTACGGTGGTGCTACAGGATCTACAGTTGCTAACCTCCCTCGGTTGAACCCAGAAGTGGGAACACCCTCCGGAATGCAAGCAAGATACTCACAATACACAACATCACTTCGCATGCATCTCTAACCCATCGACCATTACACACCCAGCTTCCTGCAACCAAATACACGTGAGACCTTTCTACTCCCTTACTGCGCCTGGTACTTAACTCCAGCAAAGCATAACCACAGCCTCCGTACCACCATAACCACTCAGATAATCCGTGGTCCTAGCCTTAACTATCTTTTGTGAAAGAACCGTTCTTCATGGTAGCGCCGAAAGCTATTGATACCCTGTGTTACTCCATGCTACCAGAAGACATCCAGACATTTCGAGATCCAATATCCTCTCCATGCTTCTGTTTAATACCTACATATCAAAGTTCACCGGCCACTAGAAGAGGAACTTCTTGATCTAATACGCAATCGCCAATGCAAATAAACGTTGTTGACTACATCCAAGGCAATTGGCAATCCGATCAGTTTGAAATGCACTGTAATAGTCATGAAAACTCTTATACCAGAATCTAATTTTACCTCTTGCACTGATTACATTACGCCTGTTTGGGACTTTAACACGAAGATACGCATTAGGTTCCTCACCAGAGATTAATGGGATGCAGGACTACCAGTAGCAGAGGGAGCTAATCTTTTACTTAGTAGTAGAGTTCCAGAAGATAAAGCCACTAGTTTTGTCGACAGTCAGGCAATCGTATGGAAACGTTGCACCACGCTGGCGTCACTTGGCCGTATAAACGTTACTCTATACTGGGTCCCCAGACATAGCAATATTGAAGGGAATGAATCGGCTGATGAGAAGGTCAGATGTGGCTCAGAGATGCCAATAGAAGAAGCAGATAGTTCCGTATTACCACCGTTTTGTGAGCCCGTGGTTTTTGTCCGATTTCAAAAATATTCAAAACGGTACTTAAGGAGGCTAATGTGTATACCAAATTCGGTCGAGATCGGTCAAACATTTTTTTGAACTACGCAGATATAATTTAAGTGGGTCATTTTCCTAAAATTTCTTGAAAACCCACTTTTTTACTAAAGAGCGATTGTATATATCAATTTTGAATAAATATTGATGAACTTCTTAGCCACACTGCTCAAAAAATCTGAAATTCCGGTATGTATAAATTCAAGGCCGTATTTAAGAAAAGTCGCCTAAATTCGAATTATATATATGTATATGCGATTGCAATAAATGAGGTATCAGTTTATTTGAAAATAGATTTAACTTTAGATAGTGCTCCATATTCTGAAATTATAGAAATTATCGATGGTCAAAATTTAAAAAATTAAAAGAAATGTGGGTCTTTTTTTAATTTACCCGATAAAAAATCCCAACAAGCCTAGTCCGACAATAGATTCTTATATATCAATTTAGAGGCCTATATATCCTCTTCTCAGATCATATTCGAAATTTGAAATCGAATCAAAAATAGTCATTCAAAAACTCATAAATCTACAAAATCGTATTTTCTGACCCTAAATCGACAGGTCGCGACCTCTAAATGATTTTTAAAAAATCAATAAAAATAGGTAATAATATTTCTCATAAAAACTAATAAAATTAGGGGGTAGGGTCTTGAAATTTTCTCAAAAAGCTTTTTCGATGGCCACCCTAACGTACATATGTAAGAATATACGCGTTGCCTGATTAATGACCGAATGTGGAAAGAAAGGCAGGCCCGAGTCAGAGTTTGCCACCCAATGCATTTCCTTGTAGTTAACACCGTTTTGCATTGCTCTAATTTTCTCATCCACGGGCATTAACACTGTTCTGTAGACATGCTCCTATTAACAAAATAGAAACAAATTTTATTGTTTCTTTGTATTACATTTTACGCTGGTTACTTATTCAAAAACTTTCACTGCTTGTAAACTGTTTGGCTGGCTGCCGCAACTGATTGCTGATACGAATATCAAGTCGGCATTGTGGCAATAAGCAGTCAGGCGATTCACTGACTGAGTTTGTTGCTTTTTTGTTCGCTTGTGTCATAGTTTTTTCTCATTTTTTAAGTAAACTATATACTTACTGGTTTGTTGTTTTTTGCCTTGCAGTTGCGCTAATTACTCGATGTTTTTTACTCTCCCACTTTTTCATTGCTTTACCGCAGTGAAACTATTTTTTTTTCTTCTTTTGAGCTAAGAAAAACTTTGACAAATGACCCGGATTAGTGGCAAATTATTGCGTTCTTTGGTAATATGAAAGCGCTGGAAGGGAAAACGCGAGTAGCTCAGTCGAAAAAAAAGGGAAAAACTTAAATCAGACTCTGACAGCTAAACTGTAAAGTTAAACAAAGCTGGGAGAAAGAACTGCAGTGGAATGTTAAAGAAAAGAATTAAAAAATAAAAATTAAAATATAAGTAAAAAATGCAAGCAAATTTGCACTGTTATGGTTTGAACATTAAAAAAAACACCAGTTGGTAGTTCAACTGTAATTTCTTAACGAATCAAGATGACAGTAAACATCTGCTTCTGTACTCATTGCAAGCGCACACCTGTCCGCGTTGCACAGCAATGTTGCAAAGAAAATGTTGCCAGCTGCTGCATTAAATACTTGGCGAGAAGAAATACCCGTAAAAAGGAAACAACTACTATAGAGTAGCAAACATAAGAAGCTTTGCCGCTATGCTCATAAAAGGCCTCGCGGATATTTAGAGGCGTACGATGAACGAAAGCGCGAAATCTTCTCTTAAATAAAGAACATTTTCATTAGCGCTATTACGTTTTCAGGTATTCCGTTGGCTTAGCATAGTTTAAGCGAATTTCTTGTTGTCGTTGTGTTGGTTTCGATTTATGAGTTACTAGTAAGAAAAATTTTGTTGATGAATTACAGCAAAGAAGTACGTTTAACTAACGCAAGTATCATTCAAGGTTACTTAAATGTATGCGAAGCTGACATACGAATTGACAAAAAGGCAAAAAAAGCTGGTAAGAATAGCTTCTCAATAGTTCTAGAGAAGGCTAAAAAGAGTTACGGATATTTTGACAAAAAAAAAATAAATAAATTGGGTATCGCAGATTCTCGCAGCATACGACATGCCGCTAAGAGGCAAGTAAAAAAATTGTTCCGAGTTGCTTTCCAATAGTTCTAGAGTTTCTGAAAAAAATTCAGATATTTTAACAAACAAAAAAATTTTAAATTTTTTGTTTTTCAGATTCACGAAGCAGAAGACATTTCGCAAAACACACAAAAAAAGCTTTCAATATGTAGTTCTCGAGTTCTTGAAAAGGCTAAACAAAAGTTCTGGAAATTTCGACAAATTTTTTTTTTTAATTGTTATGTCAGATTCACGCAGCATATTACATGTCGCAAAAGGCAAGTAAAAAACTGTCCTGAGTTCTTTCCAATAGTTCTAGAGTTCCTGAAAAGGAAACAAAAGTTCTGCGAAATTACGCCGAAAAACAGTTTTTTTTTTCAAAAAAGTTGAAAAATTTCAATGTTTGAAAAAAAAAAAAATAAAACTTAAAAGTGTTCTGAGTAACTTTTCAATAGTTATAATTCCTGATTAGGATAAAAAGTGGGGTGATATATTCCAGTGAAAGCTCTGATAAACGGACGCTCTAATAAGGGACATCTGCTATAAGCGGACACATTCTTGGGAACGAAAAATTTTTGGTTGTTTCCATACAAAATGCTCTCCCATAAACAGACTTTCCGACAAACGGACGCGGACACTCAAAAATGTCCAGTTATGAAAGAAAATCGCCTATAAGCGGACGCAAAGCCCTAACAAGCGGTATATTATTATTATTTTTTGTTTACTCAAATGTTGCCTCTTGCGCTTCTACATATCGTCGGTGATACTGCAAAACGGCCTATGTCTACTAGTACCCTTGACACTTATGTAGATGGTATTTTACGTGCACCGGAATGCATTTGCAAATCGTTACACCTTAATAAACGAATAACAAAACTTTCTACCTTGGGCTGATGAAGATGAACGATTGCCAGAAGCGATCAGATACAGATAGCAGATCAATTAAGCACCAGAGGTAAAAAGTGACATAGAACGTTTTGCAGTATTGCCGACGATATGTATACTATGTACACAAGAACATAGTCCACATTCAGAGATATTCTCTTTTCCGGAAAAAGTGTTGCCTTTCGCTGCACAGTTGAAAGTTTTTGATAGATTTTGTTCAAATATACCGGAGAAGTAAATTTCTGAACAAAAGTAGTGTCATTTTCAGAAGCGAGCTAAATGGCTTGAGTGTAAGTTTTCTGCACAAAAACCATTTCGAACCATTAG